GTTTAAACCCAATGTCGCTTCATCCAGGGCGATGGCAGCTTCCTCACTCGGAAGAAGGCGGTAATCAAGCCGTGCTGACATTTATTCACGCGCTCAATTGCTCAATCAATCGTTGAAATGGATTGTTACTTGCTCGTGTACGCCTGGTATGTTTGTTGGGAGACGTTGCCGATTATCTTTTGCACAACCTGAATTCAAACGTTTCTATCACCAGCGGCACGAGAAAACATCGGTACATCTCTTACGATTGTTTCAGCACATAGTTTTTTGTTGGAGCGGTCCTAACAGCTTGACTTTAGTGGAGGCGGTGCAGCGCAGTTGAATTAACCTCCCGCCTCGCTTGTCTTAGAATAGGTAGCTCGCACTTAGGCCAGGATTGCAGTTTATTGCGACTGGAAAAATTGGAGCAAAATATTAATTTTCTTACTTACAGGCACTATGCCTGGGAAGAAGCCACCATCCCGTCCCAAAATTGGAAAGAGAGGCTATGCAGGCCCTACAAATGTTGCAGCGCCCAGCACAGACTCAGTCCCATCCATCTACGATACTCTTCCAACTGACTTGCTGTATTTCGTTCTTCGCTATTTTGACGCCTCTATGCTTGCACGGTGGGAGCAGACATGCCTGTTGGCCCGAAATTCGCTCGAGGGACAGAAAGGAGTTGCCCTGTGGCAGATGGCGACAGAATACCAGTTTCAGTGGTTCATCACATCAAAGCCTTCCTACATCTCACAAAAGAGATTTTTGTTGCAACTACGGAAAAGCTGCTGGCCGATCGAGCATAAAAATGACTTAGATCGCCCGGGAAGATTTTATGTACTGGGGGGCTCTTGCAACAGGCCCGCGCCAATGGACGGATGCGAATGCTTCATGGACTCCGGGGGCGCGAAGCTTCTGCCAGGGCGGTACCCTGCTCCTTTCCACAAAGAGGCTGTCCCAGCCTTACAAATGGAACGCTCTGCACCTGGAGTGGCTCGGGATCAGGAGGACGGTCTGTGGGTGGTGGGGGGGTGGTCGGGATCCGAGGCTTTGAAATCCGTGGAGAGGTTAGGGGTAGACCCGAGGACTGCCCAGGAGGGTGGGATGAGAGAGCATCGGGTGGCAAAGGAGGACCTGGTAACAGGAGGCTCGAGCTGGTCTGGCATGCCTCGACGCGAAAGGATGTGGACGTCCCTGCAGCCGCTCGAGACCGCCCGTTGCTTCCTCGCCTCGGTGACCGATTTGCAAGGCCGCTTGTACGCTCTGGGGGGGGGAGAAAGCATATGGCAAGGCGCTAGGGTACTCAAAAGTACCGAAATCATGGAAGAGCCCCTTGCCCGGTTAACTATGCCCTGGCGCCCCGGCCCTTGCATGGTAAAAGCCCGCTGCGGGCTTGCCGCAGCTGCGAGCATCACAGGCGACATCTATGCCGCTGGAGGGTATGGGGGGGGTACGACATATCTGTCTTCCGTTGAGGTGTTACGAGCGGGCGATTCAGAGGGAGCCACGAGGGAATGGTTGGTCGATGTGGTACGGCCCATGCATGTAGCCCGAACCGGCTTTGGGCTGGCCTTTGGCCCTGATGGCTGCCTTTTTGCCGTGGGAGGGTCGCCCGACGGCTTGCACAGCCACCGAAGGGGAGAAAAGTATGACGTTCGGGAAGGTCGATGGAGGTGGCTCCCTCTCATGATAACACCCCGGGGTTACTGCTCCGCGGCTTTTGGGCCGTCGGGCTTATTGTACGTCGTGGGCGGACAGGCAGGCGTGACTAACGACGACGCCATAACCAGAGTCGTCGAGGTGTATGATCCTCGGGCAGACAAATGGCGACAATTCAAGAGTTTTGGCGGTGAAAATGACTCAGGGGTAGACCGTGTAGACCTAGGAGTTGTCTGGGCCTTGGTCCCTTAAACAAACAAGCTGTTTTTTTTAAAGTCACCTGGAAAACTAGCTTTTGTGTGAAGAATTTCGTGGGCAAATCCATCCAAAAACGCTTGCTTCCAAATAGGAATGTTCTAGACATGGGGACATTCTCACATTTCATTGTTTATTACATATCACGGAAAGGTGCCGGGAGGTCGACAAGAGCGATACTGGCGAGACAAAAGGCCAAGAATGGTAAAAAATCTGAAAATTTGGTAAGTATTTTAAAGTGCGTGACTACCGATGGCGGGAAGGATGATTTGGTATTTTCTGAAGCACTGGGGGCATACTAGATTGTCACGCCCCTCTGCCCTTTTTGTGCCTCTGGGATGCTTCCTAGCTGGCGGTCGCCGTTTTTTTACTAGCCACGACTGTTCCATGATGATACGCCCCAGGCTCTTTCAACAGTCTCTGCAATTTTTAAGGTGATGACCCCTTTGATGGCGAAAATCTTCTTGTTATAAATTGTGCGGACAGAGTCGATGGGACCTCGTGCTTTAATTGCACATGATGATCATGCTACATGATGTTACAAGGGAGGGGGGGGCGCCAAGAGCTTTTCCGCCATGTCAGCACGTGCCTTTCTTCCATGCTCTCCCAGAGCACAAACATCACGTTACCGCGCATCCCAGCAATGAATTATACCTTATTTCTCGCATGAAATTTCATCAACACAGAAACACGCCCGAGGGCTTGTTCAGCAAGGGGAAGTAAGACAGGATTGGGAAGCAGAAGTATCTACTTATCCTCCGGGCCTTCACTTGGATCTCGCCTCAGTCTGAAAGCATGCCACCCCTACCAAGCGGGGGGCTCTTGGGTCCAGCTTCTCAGTTCACCCATACAACTGAAACGACAGAATGCAGGGAAGGGGTCGCAGGCACTGGTGTATTTGGTGAGGGCCTGAAAGTCCGGGGTCCTAATGGGGCAGAGTACATGCTAAGCGAGGACTGGCCGCGCCGCGGAGACGCGACCGGGGACACGTATCGATGCATACGACGGAATAAGGACGGAACAGAATCAACTGTTGCGATTAAAGTGGCCAAATGCTCACTCCATGATGTCTTCAGCTCCGCGGTGTCCCAGGAGAGCACCATTTCCGTGTCTGCGATGAGCTCTCCGTCATCGAAATTGGCTGCTTGGAATCAAGAGGTACGACTGCTCCGTCGTTTGGCACTCTCGGCGGGTACAAATCAAAACTGCCACAGGGTTGACGGCTGTGTCGAGGACGGCGCTGCCAAGCCACTGGACGTGAGCGATGCGGCATCTTCGACGCGTAGGAACGCGTGCTGCCCACCGGCGCACACGGTGGAGCTGGTGACAGAGTTCGGAGGCTTGAAGTCCCTGCCCTCCATGCGCTTTCTGGTCACCACGCCGGTCTGCTGGAAAACGCTCGACGCACGAATCAAGGGTGCGGAGCGTGGTTACATGGAGGCGTACAGCAGGGAAGAGGTAGGGAGTCGGAGGCTAGCTGTAGGGAGCAGACGGGCGTGGAGGGGGAGGACGAGGACGTTGTTCGTGGGGCCGGAAAACTTAGTATCTTT